TATAATATAAAAAATATAATTAATAGAATTTGAATATACGCTTTGAACATTGATTTAAAAATGTTTCCATTCAAGTGTTATTTTGAGGTTATGTTGTTTTCAAAAGGTAACGCAAGAAATATCATTTTCGCTAGATCAGCGAAAATGGATTATCGATGGAGCCAAATCAGTGAAACTTATAGCTATTATAGTGATTGTTATCTCTACTTTAGTAGAACTTTTTTTAGCGTGTGGGTTTTCTCGCCAGTGGAGAGGGAAACTGTAGAAAACCTCTCCTGAGTACAACCGGTTTATCGACAGTCGAGTTCTAATGGTGTGTACCGGACAATAATCGATGGTGCACATCATTATACCTCGACGTCAAACCTCCCGCTCAGATTGTCTCACGTGCCGGAAAAATACCAAGCCAAATGGGCGCGAACCAAGGGTACTTACCCTTGGTCCTTAAACGACCGCCAAGCGAGGCATCTATCCGACTGAGCTAATCTGTCGGTACCTTTATACAATTACAAATAGTCAAATATAAAAACGTAACACACACATCAATTCAATCATTCATACAAACACACAATACATACGAGTCAACATATAAATACCGATAAATACAATATAAAATTAAGTTTAGAATAAAATAATGCGCAAAGTGTTAAAGGACTTAAATTTGATTCTCATGAGAATTAATACCAAAAATAATATACGGACCAAATTGATTATATAGTTTTCCTTTAGTCAAGCGTTTCCATGAGGTAATAGGACGAGATGATATTGAGCCTTGTTCTGTCCCCACTCATTTCATTTATATAAAACGAGTGAAGATTCGGGAACAAACGTTAAATTTCGGAAAGTCGAGGAAACACCTCTTCGCTCATGGCTCGATTGTCCGTCACACAAAATATACTTTTATATATACATGGATACTTAGATCCTTACAATAGTTCTTATCGGACTTATTTTCTTCAAAGTCATCCTCATCGCTGGTTGCACTGTGTTTCTCAGCTTCAGTTTCTGCAGCGGTGCTTTCCACTTCAGAATCCACCCGGCAAGAAGGCTGGAATTGGATGGATTTAAAGTTATCTCACGTACGTACATAGAGATGAAAAATTTTAATTATTTTTAATACCTGATTTTTTCACTTTTTCTAGTTTCACGGAGTAGGATAAATTGCCAACAAAGTGAATTCCACTTAATTCTAAAATTTAAAAGCTATTATCAGTCGCAAATTTGATTTCGTTTAAAAAGAATAGAATACGAATTTTTTTTAATTTAACTTGGCTGTTATTTATTCCTTACGTAGACTTACGAAATATGGGAAAAATCTGGTATTAAATGGAATTCATTTTTTTAATTCCAATCAATTCCAGCCTTCTTGCCGGGCACGTATTCTCTTTATAACCGAGGCGACGAATTGACAATTCGATGTTTTTAGCATTCGACCTTTTGTCCATTTGACTACTTGGTATTCGACTATTTGAACATTCGACGACTTGGTGTTTAGGGGAAATGCATGCGTCTCGTCGAAACCGGAAGGACAGCATTAAAGCATCAAGGTGTCCCATAAGTGTAAAAGGTCCGAGAGTCGAGTGTATTAGAATATTATTATCACCACCCAGTGAGAAATTGCCAATAGACTTTAATCGGTCCAATATCGGTCCAATATTGGTTGCCGTGCTGGGCGCCGATTGACTCCCAATATTGGACCAATATGGGCTGATGCTTGGGATGTAACGGCATCGCCAATCATCGGTTGTCAATATTGGTCCAATATTGGCCAAATATTGGCAACCAAGAGAAAAAAATTTTTTTAAATAAATTTTTTTTAATTAAATAATAATAATAAAAAATTAATGTTTATAATTTTTGTTTAATATATTTATTTGTTTAATTATTTATTTTTAATAATTCATGTAAATAATAAATAATTTATAATTTATAAATTATAATTATTTAAAAATGCAGCAGCTATTAGAAAATAGCATTCTGCAAAAAAATTCTATCATTGAAAAATCAATGATAGGCGAGAGAAATCCGCGTCTTTAAATAGATTCGCAGATGATAGACAAGAGATATCCGCGTCATTAAACGGATTCGCAGATATACTCTGGTCTCGCGACGAATCTCTCGATACTTATATACACTGGAGTTGCCGTGTCAGTTGCGAGAACGGTTACAGCGTCCCTCTTGCGGCAGAGATAAGAATTGTCACGTAAAGTGCGGGTATAATAAGGCGGTCGGTAAAGCGATTTAGCAGTTTACGTGACAATTCTTATCTCCGCCGAAAGAGGGACGCTGTAACCGTTCTCGCAACTGACACGGCGACTCCAGTGTATATAAGTATCGAGAGATTCGTCGCGAGACCAGAGTATATGTGCGAATCCGTTTAATGACGCGGATATCTCTTGTCTATCATCTGCGAATCTATTTAAAGACGCGGATTTCTCTCGCCTATCATTGATTTTTCAATGATAGAATTTTTTTGCAGAATGCTATTTTCTAATAGCTGCTGCATTTTTAAATAATTATAATTTATAAATAATAAATTATTTATTATTTAGGGGCCGTACACATAATACGTCACGCGATTTTTTACCATTTTTAACCCCTCTCTCCCCCTATGTCACACTTCGTCACAAACCTTGAACCCCCCCTCCCCCTACAACGTCACGTCACACACGTTATTTCACTGTAATTTTTATACATTGGATATTATATATTATATCCTACACTCTAAATTATTGAATCAGTTAAAAATAACTGATTTAGGAGCAAAAAGTCAGTCACTAATTCAAATGGTAATATTTTTTTTCTGACAATTAGTTAAAAATAACTGATTTTTCAATACAAGTGTTTTTGATTGATTCAATTAGTCACGTTTAACTACATAGCACCGAAACTTTCCTAAAAATTTACTAAAGATTTACTCGCAAGCTTCGAAATATTTAAATGCAAAGTTTAGTGAAAATTGTGTAAAGATTTAAATATCCCACTTCAATAAAAGTTGAGCGCGAAACTTTCCTGAAAATTTAACTTAAATTTTCAGGAAAATTTTCACGAAAGCATATAGTCGAAAATGTAATTCAAATGTTCAGGAAAGTTTCAAGCTATATTTTTAAGAAAATTTGACAATAAACATTTATTGGAGTGAAAAATTTAAATCTTTACACAATTTTAACTAAACTTTGCAAGTAAATTTTTCGAAGTATGCAAGCAAATCTTTAGATTTGCATACATATTTAGAAAAGTCAGTCACTGCTGATTGTCAGTTAAAACCATGATTTTTAACTGATTCAAATTAAGAGAATATATTATTTATCATATTATAAATAATATACGAATAAATGTTAAACAGGTACATAATAGATATTAAATAGATTAAAGCATTTTTAACTTGTTTTATTTAGAAAAAGTGACATTGTCACATATAATTTCTTATAATCTTTGAATTTAAAAGATTGTGACGTAACACATGAGTTCACCCCCCCCCTCCCCCATGTCACACTTAGTCACAATTCTCAGACCCCCTCCCTCCCCCTAGCCGCGTGACGTATTATGTGTACGGCCCCTTACATGAATTATTAAAAATAAATAATTAAACAAATAAATATATTAAACAAAAAAATTATAAACATTAATTTTTTATTATTATTATTTAATTAAAAAAAATTTATTTAAAAAAATTTTTTTCTCTTGGTTGCCAATATTCGGCCAATATTGGACCAATATTGACAACCGATGATTGGCGATGCCGTTACATCCCAAGCATCAGCCCATATTGGTCCAATATTGGGAGCCTTTATTGGACCGATGATCGGTCTCTTGGCTCCCAATATTGGACCGATATTGGACCGGTGAGAAATTTCTCACTGGGCAGTTCTTATTATGAACTAAAAGTAAATGAAAAACAAACGAAAATTATAGATTTTTTAAGTTCTTAATTTAATTTGTACAAAGTTTATTTGGTGAATAGTAATTACATGCACATGCATTTCGCCGTCACGCGTGTGATCAAATGAGCGCACGCCGTGCGGATTAATAAACACGCGTGCGAGCGTATGTCTGTCACGGTGCGCACATTTTGCTATCTGATATGATGTATTGGATGGTTAAGCAACCAGTCCAATTGTCCAAAAGCCGTTTGGACAATTGAGCAGGCGGCTTGCTCAATCATCACTTTTTTACTTGTCGCACAGTAGTGTTCAATGAAGCCTTCCTCGGATGATCGTGTTGCACTCATGGGAGTATATGAGTGCAACATGATCATCCGAGGAAGGCTTCATTGAACACTACTGTACAATATCAGGATAGTAACTGATGAAATCTAGATTTCTTTAAGGAAAACATTGCACATGGTTACCAGCACAATCATTATTGTACTCTGTAGATTTAAAAGTTATAAATAATATCTAAACGAAAGTTAAACAAATTTTCAATGATGAAAAGAAGAATTCTAAAATGCTTTTTATACAAAAGTACTCTTGGTTACCACTATATAATAATATGTAAAGCTGAACTGTAAAAAACATCTGTGTCCAGAAAAATTATAGGTTATGTTTGTAAATTTTGAATTGTGAATACATAAAGAGGATTAACTTTCAGTGCAAATTAATGATCTTCAAATCCTAAGTACATCTAAAATATTCAATAAAAATATTTTATTTTATAAAATTTAAAAAAATCGTCACTAATGAGGGTACACTGTAAAAAAAGAGCGTCTTGGTTTAAGACGTTTACGTGGTCACTTCTAAGACGTTTATAAGCGTCTTATTTGCCTTCTAAAATGCATGTATTTGGAGGTTATGTTTTTTATTTAAGACGCTCAAATAAGACGCTTATTTACATAAGACGTTTATAAACGTCTAAACGTCTTATTTTGAGACGCCATTTTTTGAAGTGTAAAACGATCATAAACATAACCTAAAATTTTTTTGGAGATACTGAAATGTAAAAAAAAATTTGGTTTTTCTATATTACAAAGTATTACATGTATTATATTCTTTTTTTAGAGATTTGAATATATAGATTTGAAGAATCTGTAATAATGGCGATAGCAAGAATTAAAAGCTTTTTGGACGCAAGTATCAAAAATGTATCATCACCACTGGATCGCACAGCAAATCTTGAACCAGAAATCGGTTTGAGAATTGAACATTCAGAGAATCTTAAAACATTAAGTGTGACTGTCTTAGGTGCTAGACATTTACCACAGAACTTTGGCCTGACACGTGTTAACAGCTACGTAGTAAAGGTAATTATACTAGAATAAACTTAATTTTAATTTTTGTAAACTGTCAAGTAGCAATCACACAGGACCACAAAATTTTTTTTAAAGAAAGTATTGACTGGACCATGTTTTTTAAATGTCTTTTGGGTCGCTGAATTTGAATCCGAACTCAGTTTTGAGCCATCACGTCAAGTTTCTTCACAAATTAATAAAATTCGAAAAAAACTGACTGTAAACGAGATTTAAATAAAAATAAGCAGAAGATTCTATTAAAAAACAACTTTAAAACACTGAAAAAATATTATATAATGTTAAACAATCAAAAAATCTCGTAAATATTTAAAATTTAACATGGCCGATCCAATATGGCGTCAATTTTTTTAAAATTCACCCAATTCGCCTGAATCTTGTTACTTGGGGGTTTTTGAGATTGCTAAATACGAATTTCACCTTAGTTTTCAAAAATTCAAAATGGCGGATCCAATATGGCTGACCAATTTTTAAACAAATTATTGGATTTACCTGAAACGTTATACTCGGGGGTTTCGGGGTCGCTGAATACGAATTTCACCTTAGTTTTCAAAAATTCAAAAACTGATAAATTTTTAAATAATTCGTTAGCCATATTGGATCCGCCATTTTGAATTTTGAAAAACTAAGGTGAAATTCGTATTCAGCGACCCCAAGAACCCCCGAGTAACAAATTTCAAGTAAATCTGATACATTTTTAAAAAATTCGACAGCCATATTGGATCCGCCATTTTGAAGAAACTTGACGTGATGGCGCAAAACTGAGTTTGTATTCGAATTCAGCGACTTAAAATACATATAAAAAACATGGTCCGGTCAATACTTTCTCTAAAAAAAATTTTGTGGTCCTGTGTTATGATGTGTATAAAACCATAAATAAACATTTTTTTTAATTTAGTTAACCCTTTAAGCGCACACTTACAAATCCACCCAAATCGCACACTGGGTTTACGACACCCGGGGACTTTAAAGAGTGTTCTCCAAGCTTGAATAGGATATTATTTTTTTTAATTATTTTATGTAGCTCAGTACATCTATTTTCAAGGAAAATAGGTTTTCTGTATCTCCTAGCCGAAAGTACGGTCTTCCCGGTTTAATTTGCTTCCGGGAATAGCGACTTTTGTGGCCGGCTCGACTGAGCCAACGCGCGCTCTGATTGGTTACAAGATTCTCGACACACGTAAACTGCAGCATAGCAACCACACAGACACGTTCATTAAAGAGCTTGTGTTTTGACGTGAATTAATCATAACCTTAAAACTCAAGCAGTGTTCGGTTAAAAATACCAAAATACATAATAATAAGATAAATACAGTGCATGTAATTGAAATATAACCAAAATAATTAATGAAATTTATTATTTTCTTTTATTGTTTTTTAATTATTTAAAAATATTGTAATTTAAATACGAAGAATTATCATGTTAAAAATTTTGATTGAGATTTGAACGATATAATTTCACAGATGTCACTTGATCGGTAAAGTAGGTACAGTGAGTTCTCGCGAGTCGTTCAACTCACGAGTCGTTCAAACTCGTCAGTCGTTCAACAGCTGATCAGTGTCCGATTCACGAGTCGTTCAATTTCTGGTATGCGCGCGCTGGTGCTCAGTGCTGTGTAATTTAAACGGACCAAAGCCATTGAATATTGTGTCTTTCGGGGCGATAAATATGTTTCACACATCCCTGTAATAGCCTTGGAGGCGTGGCTTATGCGTTGAACGACTCGTGAGTTTTATGATCTTGAAAATTTTCGAGAATTGAACGACTCGCGAGAACTCACTGTAAATACTTTTAATTGATGAATATTTCGATGATTGTAAAATAGGTATATTACTATTATTAAACATTTATTTGTAAGAGAAAATTTCTTACTGTTTACTATTTTTTAAATTTTACTTCCAATTATTTTTTACATATAATTTTCTTTTATGCCCGCCCCGACCAGCTAAGTCAGGCAAAAGTCGGGCGGGCAACTTATTGCGCTACTTTATTATTCAAACAATAATTGTTTAACGTACTTTCGGCTGAGGATACAGAAAAATTGTATACGACACACGGCCAGAAAGTTGGATGCCCTGGCGAGCGTGATATATAAAGCCTCAGCTTCGCCTCGGCCTTATATATCACGCCGGCCAGGAAATCCAACTTTCTGGCCGTGTGTCGTAATATACTATTCTCATAATGATTTATTTAATCTTAATAATTAAAAAAAAGTTTTTTAAAACTACTGAAATTACTTTAAACCGAAAACTGGGTATCAGCCACACAGAAATTTTTCGCCGTCAACTTCATAAAGTTATAAAAGACATTTGGGAGAGTAATCCCTGTGGGCACGACAACATCTTTGTTCTGGAATCTATAGTTAGATATTAATTTATTGTTAAATATGTCAGTAACCATATTTTTGTACCAAAAAAGCAGAAATAAGTTTATTATATTATTATATTTATTAAATAAGTTTATTCCTGATTATTTTCAAAATAATTCATGACTTAACTAAGACGATAAGTTTGAATTTTTGCTGAAATGTTATCGTGATATTCTGAGTTACTGAATTAAGTTTCGTATTTTTCCCAACAAAATTTCTATCCATGTATAAGAAATAATGAAAATAACTGTAAAAATGTTTGCTATTTTATACGTTCATATTTAAATACTAACATTATAAAATAAATTTCATTAATTCCTATTTCGGATTCTGGTAGCATGGTAGCTAGACGAAATACTTGTTGAAAACAATATTGTGAAGATATAAATTTTTTATATATTCATCAGAATATCTGCAGGGCAGGTCGCAAGTAATTTCAACTTAAAAGTACTTGTCCATCCCTTTATTTTTTGCATTTGTTTCTGCGATGTCTTCTGATAATTTTGAGCCTAAAATTAAAAAGATGGTAAGGCCGTTTGAAAGAAATTTTACCCGAAAGTTTGACTTTAGAAGGTCAAATCTCTTAAATTTTTAAATAGAAATTTTTTTCTGTGCTATTTGAAGTGACTTAAGTCTATAGAGCACTTATTTGTCATCATTTTCACAGAAATATGTTGACTAATCTCTAAAAAATTCAAAAAATGAGTGTTTTCAAAAACGGTCCAACGCTTTTTTCCATTTTAGGCTAAAAATCATCAGGAGGCATCCCAGAAACAAATACAAAAAAGAACGAAGTTGGACAAACACTTTTGGGTTGAAGTTATTTGAAGCCCATCACGACCTATATTATGGGCATGAGAATAATAATTCTACGTAAGTTGAAAAATTCCATGATTTACTCATTAAATTTTAAATGTTTTTCTCAAAACAATGCTACTTATTTTTATTAATTAATTATACCATGCTTTTATTCGAAATTTCTTGACAACTTCTGAAATACATGCCTTAAAGCTTTTTGTAGTTATTATTTACGTAATTAGTAGTATCGCTATTGAAAATCCCCAAATGGAAAAGGTATTCTGTGTCAAAAACCATGTAAAAGCCCGCTTCCATTAAGAAAACCATATGGATTCCCATGTAAATCTCCTTCTCCTATTTATAATATTAACATATTCGTCGTCGTTTTGTCGTCCGTCGGTCGTGTAACTCCGTACTTCATCGTTCGGTCGTTCGACTTTTATCATTTATTCATCGCATCGTATATATACATACTCATTGTACATACATATACGCATGCGCAGTAGTATTCTATCAATGGTACGCATGCGCAGTAGTATTCTATCAATGTCAGACATGCGCAGTAGTGTTCTATCAATGTCAGACATGCGCAGTAGTGTTCTTTCAATGTCAGGTATGCGCAGTAGTGTTCTATCAATGTCAGGCATGCGCAGTAGTGTTCTTTCAATGTCAGGTATGCGCAGTAGTGTTTTATCAATGTCACACATGCACAGTAGTATTCTATCAATGTCAGACATGCGCAGTAGTATTCTATCAATGTCAGACATGCGCAGTAGTGTTCTTTCAATGTCAGGTATGCGCAGTAGTGTTCTATCAATGTCAGGCATGCGCAGTACTATTCTATCAATGGTACGCATGCGCAGTAGTATTCTATCAATGTCAGACATGCGCAGTAGTGTTCTATCAATGTCAGACATGCGCAGTAGTGTTCTTTCAATGTCAGGTATGCGCAGTAGTGTTCTATCAATGTCAGGCATGCGCAGTAGTATTCTATCAATGTCAGGCATGCGCAGTAGTATTCTATCAATATCAGGCATGCGCAGGAGTATTCTATCTGCGTAGTAGTGTTTTGTAAATGTCAGGCAAGCGCAGTAGTGTTCTATCAATGTCAGGCATGCGCAGTAGTATTCTATCTGCGTAGTAGTGTTTTGTAAATGTCAGGCATGCGCAGTAGTGTTCTATCACTATAACGCACGCGCAGTAGTGTTCTATCAGTATCAAGCATGCGCAGTAGTGTTCTATTAGTATCATGCATACGCAGTAGTGTTCTATCACTATAAAGCATGCGAAGAACATTCAGAACTTAAAATTTGAATTTTTTAATCCATACACAATCTAAAAATTATTTTTCTACAATACAAAATTCCCAAAGCCCAAAATGTCCAAAATATGAAATTTCCAAAATAAGAAGTGTTGAATTGTACTGTAAGTGAAAAGAATTAGATTATTAAGTATTAAGATTTAACAATTCTATTTCTGTGGAAGATATTTTTAGTAAATCATTATTGTCAATGTTTTACAAAAATTTAAATAACTTCTAAAAACATGAACACATTTAATGATCTTAAGCTTACTTTAAAGGTTATTTTCTACAGAATGGGAATTACTTGTAGACATTAACGTGTAATTTTTCTTAGAAATTGCAGGTCGGCAAAGTTATACACAAAAATTTCAATTGGAAATAATTTTTTTGTATAAAAAACTATTCTTCAAAAAATATAAAACATGATATGATGTAGATTTTTCAAGAAAATTTAGTAAAAAAATATGTTTGAATTTTAAAAATTATTTTTCTGTTAACCCGTTGCCTGTTAACGACCGTTGGGT